CACACGTGACTGTGTAAACAGATTTAGTGAAAAAAGAGAGAACTATTCGAAGCAGAAAAAAAACAGCGTAATATTCCATCTGACAAAGGCCTGTGCTATAATCCTTAAATTAACTGGCTGTTCTTTATAATATACTCAGATCAATAGGAGACAGAGATGTTAAGTTATAAATCAAGGGTTTTTATNCAGTGACGTGCAGTAAGGTTCATGGCTGGTGAGGCACTGGCACTGACTCTTCACGTTTACAAATATTATATTTTGACCTAAATCAAAATATAATATTATTTTCTTTTTTAGTCTGATGCTTTGATTAATAATAATATTATATTTTGATTTAGGTCAAAATATAATATTTGTAAACGTGAAGAGTCAGTGCCAGTGCCTCACCAGCCATGAACCTTACTGCACGTCACTGCAGAAGCTTATATATAGACTGCGTTTTTTGTGCCCCACCACTTTTGTACATATAAAAGCGCCACTTCTCGTGTGAACGAACGGGCTATAGGAAAGAGAAAAGTAGCGGATACAACCGTTTGCGTTCTCATGTAAACAGCACCTAAGAGTAACTGCTCTCAATAGGTCTAAAAGCTTCAACCCTAATCTCCATATAGTGCTTTTAGTTTGAAGCTCCTGATTAGAGAATTTTCAAACTTTAGCAGAAATAGTTATTTAAGCGCTTTTAGTGCAGAGTAGGCAATAGGCATCTCAGAAGATCAAAACGGTTTTATTCAAAGGCAAGTAATTTTATCAGCAACGTCCGTATACTGTAAGGCAGGTAAATTAACTATTTCTCAAAGGAGCTTTGAAGAGAGACTATATCGTCAGTTGCTTGACAAAAAGGGCTGTCTGACACCAATGTAAAGCGGTGTAGCTGTAAAAATATTACAAATATTATATATTTACATTTTTAGAAGTATAAAACATATTTTGCTGCTTCCTCCGTACAGAATCCACTGCTCACACAGAGCTACATCCAGTGAACATGAGAGTAACCAGTGCTTGCAAACTTAACTATCTTGCACATCTTTGGTTTCAGCAAGCTAGCTTGGTACCCAAAGTACCAATGTAATACCTAATATAACTCATGTGAACTACATTTAAATATTGTCCACTTGAGCTGGGGATTGGTCTGAATCCAACATGCGAATGTGATAAAATAATTCCCTCATGAGTTATCAGACACAATCACAATGCCCACATGATGTCTAGAAACAGGGTTTAAAACATTGGCTGCACATGCATAAATATGCTAGCACCAGTTAGCTCTTACCCTATTTAATTATTTACCACAAACACCCATTTAGAGTATTGACTAAGTGGAGATCGAAGATAAATGTGTTCTCTGACTCAAAGCTAAACGTCTGCTCCCTGAGACTAAACACTTAACTTTATAAACTGAAATGAATTATGAATCAACTAATGAGAGAGTGCAACATATCATCCAAACCTTCACTCTTTCTGACACTGCGTATAAAACACAAATCTTGAAAATCTCTCTAAACGTTATCCTTAAAGGGACAGTTCAACCGAAAGACAAACACATATTTATATTCTTCCCTATATCCGTATTAATAGTTAGCAATTGAGTTTGTCTCGGTGGAACCAAAACTTGTATCAATATAGACATGATGCTACACATAGAATCTCAGTTAGGTTCTCCACAATTCAATTGTTCAGTTTATTTTACAGAATCTATCGGCACCAAAGTCATTTATTCAGATGTACAATCATGATAAACAAGAGAGACAAGAAAAAAGTGACTCCTTAACTTTAATGTTTGAATATGTGTACATACATCGATAATTGGTGTTCGTCTAGCCTGCTAGGGCTCACCCATCAAATCAATCACATTTTTTTTCATAAAAAATGAATCGTTTTTGTAAAAAACAAAACATATTCTATTATTTTGGAGAAAAGGCAGACATCTATAATATCAATATATCCACCACCTGGCAGTTGAGACCTCAACAATATTGATAAACTACGGAGCCCCCTAGGGGACATGGAGAAGAAAAAAAAAATGTTTTGAACAAAAAATAAATAAAAAAGTTTTGCGAGATCTCGCAAAACCCCTTTGCGAGATCTCGCAATACTTTTGCGAGATCTCGCAAAACCCTTTTGCAGTTTGTAGACTAAGCACTCCTCTCCCTCCTCCAGCTGCAGATTGTGACCAAATCTTGATGTGTAGCTCGGATGACGGCGCGTATCGAACTGTTCTGATAAAAACGACTCTGTAGCTCGTTGTCTACCTTGCTATGATTGTAAAGTCATGTTGTTTGTATCTTTACAACGTTATGTTCAGTTATTGATCCGCGAAATTCGAATCTGTCAATAACTCAGCTCAGAGGGACGTGCATGTCCCGTCGCTCTGAGTGTTCTCTTGAGGTGTCTTCACTTTTGTGAAACCCTTTATATATACAGTCTATGTGTGAAACCCGTGCCTATTGCCAAGCACTAATGTTATATCTTTACAAACAAAAACCAACGTTAGATTTCACAATAAAGACTTTCATAACATTTATAATGTTATGACATTCCGTGCATGGGTGTCTAATTCGATTCGAAGACGTCGACTAACCAAGACTCTTACCTCCCTGCATCTTTTACTAAACTGATTCTTCACGGTCAGACATCCTAAACCAACTAAAATAAGATGCTTGAACCGGACTAATAAAGTCTAGTGTGTTGTCGCCGGTGAGAGACTTTTGAAGGATAACCCGTCAAGTTACTGTCGCCCTATGTTCTCTTTTTCTAAACTTCGCTCATGAGTTTCTCAGCACAAAGTCGGAAACGCAATTCCGGCTACCCACTCTGAATTGTAATTTGAAAACTGTGAAATCCAGTGTCGTCTTTGTGTCAATGTCTGTGTCTTTGTACGAGTTGTTTCAACATGTTCACGACGTAGAGCAAGAGCGAGCAAGGAAAGAAATGAAGTGTGTAACTAATTAGTGTTAGGGTACAA